TATTTCTATACAAAAAAAATCCATTCTATTCTACACAGAAAATGGTCCATTCTTTTCTATACAGAAAAAATTGTCCATTCTTCTCTGTATAGAAAATCTGGTTCATCCCTTTCTATGCAGAAAAATTATCCATTCTTTTCTATACAGAAACAGTGGTCCATTCTTTTCTATACAGAGATAATGGTAAATTATTTCTGTGTAAAAAAAACTGTATAGAAAATAATGGACCATTATTTTCGGTATTGAAAAGAATGAACCATTATTTTTGTATAATAAAGAGTGGTCAATTTTTTCTGTTTAGAAAAGCATGGACAATTCTGTATAGAATAATATGGACTATTTTTCTGTATAGAAAATATGGACCATTTCTCTCTCTATAGAAAACATTGTACCTTTTTTCTATAATATAAAACTTTTCCAAATAGAAAAAAAATCGAACATTTTCTATATAGAGAAAAAATGGACCAAATTTTTCTATCTAAATGTTTTTTACTATAAATAATAAATACATTTATTACAAATTTCATAAATACAAATACATATACATAATAGATAGTTACAATTTCTAAAATATCATATAATTTGTGTGTAATTATGTCTTTCTTTTTATTTAAATATCTTTTATTTTGTTTTTTCGCACTTATAAATCATCGATCATATCATAATATGTATGTTGCATGTATAAATATTTTATTTATATATAAGTTTTGTTTTGGATTTAAATTAATAATAAGTTTATTTTGTTTATGTTTTAATTGGATTTTATAATTCACGATTTAAACTAAATTATAATTTAAAATAAAAATAAAAAGGAAGAGTGTTCAAATGTATGCTTTATAAAGATGACTAAAGGATTATAATTGTCTATCTTCTTTTCAAGTTTTAAACATTTATTACAAAAATTAAGAAATAATGGTAAGAAACAAAGTCGCTAATATATGAAAGTAATTACAGAACATTTTGAATATATACGCATAAACAAAATAACATAAAGCAATTAAATGGTGATTTTCACGGGCAGTTAGTTGTATTTGTAATTCTATTACAGAAAATTGCAACTATAAAAATTTATTTACAGAATTTTTTAAGAAGAAAAAAATATCAATCAATTGATAGCGAAATGCCACTAGGTAAGTTTTAGAATTTTAGAAATACAAAACATTTGCTTGAAATTATGGAAAGTGTTGAATATAAAGCTAAATTAAAATACATAAATAAATGTGTAAATTATGCGGACACACACACTACCATGTTTGATCACCATTTATCTAAATTAATTTAAAACAAAGAACATCTAAATGGATAGACTCTAAATTATTCGATTGTTGTATGTGATTTGTATGCACCAGTCATGTGAGGTGTATTCTACAATATTATTATCGTTATTATTATTATTAATATTTATGTATGTTTTAATTAAAAATTTTATATTTTATACAAAATAATTCTTAATCTTTTTACATTCTCAATTAGATTTTGTGTGTTATTACATATTTTCATTACATCTCTCTTAGAAATGATGGAGTGGGAGAAGAGATGGTGATGCTAGTGACAAAAGTAATTTTAATAATAATGGCGGCGACGACGACAATGACAACAGTGATAATAATAATAATAAAGACAATAACGGCGACGACGGTGGTAGTGGTGGTGTTGTTGGTGGTTGTTGTAGTAGTTGTGGCAAAGGTGATCTTATGATGATTATTGTCTTCCGTTTTCAACTACAACATTTACTCTTCTTTTTACCACTGGATTTCTTTAAATTGATCGTATCTTTCTGTGGATCATTTTGTGCATTGCGTAACTTGTGCTGAAGGACTTGTCGTGTTATCGACAGGAACATTTCCTCAACTTTAATATTATTTTTGGCAGATGTTTCAAATAATTCAATATCCATTTGCTGGGCAAAGCGTTGGGCATCCTCAGTAATGACCACCTTTCGATCGGGATCATCATTTTTATTACCAACTAGAGATTTTTGTTTGTAATTAAATATTAAAGTAAAAAAAAAAAATAACTGTTAGAGTCTTGCAATAACTTACCTAATACTTTATTCACCACATCACAATTATTTTGTATTTCATCTAACCATCGTCTTACATTGGCAAATGATTCACCATTTGTTACATCGTAAACAACAATAACACCATGTGTTCCTCGATAATAAGTGCTGGTTATTGTACGGAATCTCTCTTGACCCGCTGTATCCCATATTTGTAATTTAACTCGCAGACCATCAATAACTACTGTGCGTATTTTGAAATCTACACCAATTGTTGTGATATAACTACCTGAGAATGTGTCATCCGAAAAACGTATTAATAGTGATGATTTTCCAACACCTAAAGAAGATATTAAACATTAATTAATTATAAAGAAATAATACATTTGATGGAGTTTAAAAATGGCTAATTAACAAAGTTAAAATTTATAATCTTTCGTGAAATCTGTACACCAATTATTTATTCTAAAACGTGCAACCCTACTCAGAGACTATAAGTTCCATTGTGATTCCCCTCATAGAAAGTGAAGATGCAAATATAGAGAAATAAATCACTAGAAAAACAAGAACTAGAGAAAAGAGATATATGGAAACAGAATGATTCCGTAGGGTTTCCAATCCAGATGATTTGCCCAGCCAATTCCCTACAGAAAGGAATGTGAGAGAATCTGAATAGACTGCGAGGGTAAAGACCCGCAATTTTCTCCCGGTTTCAACCTAATATTCTGTATTCTACAATGGCAAATTATATGCTCTATTGCCTCTAGTTCCTTTACATCATCGCATAACCTGCAATAATACATTATATAATTGTCCCACATACTGACAAAGGCCTTAATTTGCCAATACCCCCCTTTAACTGCATCTATCTATCCTATAAGTATTACATCAAGTGTTAGCAATTAGGCCTTTGATATTTTCCAATCCATTCTACTATTCTATGACTCTCGAATATCAACATACAATAGTGACAGATGGTGGTTTCACCATCTTTTCCCTGTCATCTATATCAGCTTGACTATTGACATAAATTGTCGTGTAACATCCCTATGCATCAGAATCGATGACTAAAATTTCATATTACCTTTCTTATTATCTCAATAGTCTGCAAGAAAACTAAAATAATCAACTATTTGGAATTTTTTACGCAATAAACTCTACATAATTTCTAATGTAATTCAAAAAGTGGCACAAATCTCAATTTAAATATGGAAATGAAGCCAATAAATGAATTTTTTGTGAAAAAAAAGCGAAACAATTTTAAGTGATAATGTTGCATCTACAATGCAAACATAGAAATGAAAAAGAAATGATGCGGTCAGTAGTTTTGTTCTGTCTTCAGCTTGTTTATATTAGTCACACTTGTAAGGTACTTAAATGACTGAAAACATTTTTTAAAAATTAAAAAGAAAAAAATGCATCAAATAATATCCAGGGTAACAAATAGTGCAATACATAATTTATTAAGTAATAACAAATTAGTTACTGGTTTTAAAATAAAAATATATAATCTAATTTTAAGTCATTGTTAAACAGATTTAACGTTATGTATCTGAGTGATATGATATTTTAAATAAGTAGAGTGTAATTTAAATTATAATGAAATATTTGTGGTTAGTATGTGATTGGATTACATTTTCGCAGCTATTATTTTTTAAAGGGAAGTATATATATTGTGACAAATCTCGCTCAATTACAACAGCTCTAGATGAGTTATTTTTTAACCTAAATAGAACAAAAAAATCTACGATAAATCCATTTTTAACTAAATATCACTGGATCAGAATAGTCGCTTTCGTTATCGTCTGAGCTTTTGCAACGAGAACACATATCGAAATGGGAATTTAGGTTAAATTTACTTATTAAAATATCATAAGCTAAGACAGAAAAAATTTGCTCGTTCAGAAATGTGGAAAATCGGCTTCTGATACTTCTCTTTTATTAAAAACATTTATCTTAGTAAATTGTAAAAAAGTTCCTTCTATTCTCATTTTGAAATTCATAAAAAAATCGGTAGACTACAGATTGGACTATACTACAGACTAGACTACAGACAACACTACATACTGGACTTTGGACTAAACTATAGAGACTATAGGCTTGACAATGGACTAGATTAGATTAAAGGGAGGTTCTATTCCACAGCATATTCAACGACGCTGTGTGTCTAGTCGAATATATAGTCTAGTATATAGCCTATCCTATAGTCTAGCATATAGGTTAGTTTATAGTGTAGTATATAGTCTATTATAGAGTCTTGTCTATAGACTAGACTCTATAACAGAGTATATGCTCGACTATAAACTAGACTCTATATAGCCTATAGACTAGACTCTATAATAGACTATATACTTGACTATAAACTGGGCTATATACTAGACTATAGGCTAGATACTGATTTTTCCATGCCTGTCACATAGCTTCGTTGAATATGCTATAGAATAGAACCACCCTTTTTGCACCATACGAAGGCCGTATATTATAATAAAGAAGCCACGACTAATATAGAACCGTTACAATAATTATCTCCCTGTCCCGAAAAATACAACAACAATTTCTGAAAATATATTAGTGTTAAATAAAAGCACACTTTTAGGACTCTGCCTTAAAGAATAAACGCAATCCAATAAAAGCTGTTTTGTACAAAAGTTTTTTAAACAAAACAAATATGTGAACGGAAAAAATATAGGACATCAGGGAATTACAAACTTGCATTCTATTAATACTTTTTAAAGGGAAAAATACATTAATGCAAAAGTAATAAATTTACAAACTTACCACTGTCGCCAATAATTAAAAGTTTAAATAAATGATCAAAACCACGAGCCATAATTGCAGACTTAATACGGAGGGGTTTGAGCGTCGATACAGAAGGAATTAACGTTAATGGAAGAAGAGATAGATGCTGGTAATTGACCACTACCACTGCAGGCTGACTGATGAAATGTGTGTTTTTATCAGAATATGAAAATTGCAAGGAGGAGTATATATTAGTATGTTATTCTTCGAATCGTTTTATTACAAAAAAAAAAAAAAGAAGGAAAAACAACCACTTTTTTGCAGGCTTCAAGTATTAATAAACTACACACCCACATACACTGTTTGGAGAATGCAATCGTTTTACGAAACACGTATTGTTATTGATGTTGTTGTTCTTTTTGTTATCACTAAATTAGTTAGGAAACATAAAGTCCACAATATTTTAACACTTTAAAAATGTTTTAATATCTTTCTTTTTATTTTTTAGGGGATTAATTACTTTTTTGTTACGTTTCTTGTTCCGTTCGTTCGATGGTTGGGTGGCTGTTCTCTGACTCTGGGGTGTTTGCTGAGCTGTTGTGACGATTTGATAAGAAAATCACTTGTTCGTAATTTTTTATTTATTCTATTGTATTTTTCACTGCCTTTGTTCACTTATTATAGATTTTAGTTTCTATTTTAGGGATATAATAGAATAGGCTTACGGATTAGGGCGTTAGACGTTAGGCCGGCAAATTGTTTGTATTATGTTACAAAACCATTTAACTAAATGTTAGTTAATGTGTCTGACTGGCTGCTTGTTAATAACCTTCCCCTTCAAGTGGCAGTAGGTTCGATTCGATTCTTTACTTTAGAACGTCTTATCAATTTATTGTTTTAAATATGTATAATTAATATAGATATGATTCGATATTCCTTTCTTGCTTTTGTTTAATCTCAATTTTAAAATAAAAACTTTCGTTTTTTGTGTTTCGTTTTTAGTCAAATGACTTTGGAAAACTATTATTATGATGATACTACTCTACCCGCTTCTTCCTCGACCCCTCTTAATTTTTTTTAATTTAACACTTTAATCACTTTTGTCCACATACACACAAATACTGATTGGTTGGCTGTCGGGCTGCTGCTGCTTATGACTTTTTTGCTGAGTTTATTTTTTTTTTCTTCTGGCGATTCACATTACTCCCTCTTCTTTTTTGTTGTATTTTTTGCACTTCGTCTTTTTACTTTCTTTTTTGAGTTACTGTCTGCTTGCTTGTTTTTCCTATATTGTAATTTTGTTATATTTTTAATTGTGATTTAACAAAATGTAGCACATCATTGTTGGATAAGTTTTAGAAATTATTAAATAATTTTTCCAATTTATTAATTGAAGTATTTTATAAACTATTTTATGTGATTTTCCTATTTAAATGCGTCATCAAAGAGCTGCGCCAACAAACATTAACGGCGGTGTCGGCTGACACTAAACACTTCGGCGGCGGTTTAAAAAAGGTTGCAAACTGGCTATGTTTTCAGCTGTTTTAAAACGTTCAACGATATTAAACATAATATATAAACCTTCAATTTATAAATAATTTTAGTTCTGTATAGTAACTGTGTTTAGACTTATTTTTGTAACGATAGTTATATTAATTTCGATAGGGTAGTGGGCATAATAAAAATTTGGTTATTAATTAAAATTAGGTAATTATGGCGTTTTTTGATCCGCTTTTGTGAGAGTTAGCACTACTTTGACTTGGCCAAGAACTTTTTGCAAAAGCAACAACAAATTTAATTTTGAATAGTCACAGTTGTATTAGATGGTATTTAATTTATACAGAGCTGCCACTTTTTTTGTTTTCATGCTTAACATTACTTGCACTCTTTTGTAAGCAGCACTGCCAGCATATAATGTTTAAAATTAAAGTGACATCCTACCGCTACAATATGCAAATAATGAGCTAAATAAAGAATGAGTGACCACAATATACATAATAAAGCTAACTTCTAGAGCGGGGTTTTGAGATGGTAATCAAATGCCAATTAATAATCAGATTAGTTAATCTAAAAATAAATTTAATCTGATGTTAATCCCCTTTGATGTTTTTGAGTACAAGATTAAACTTCGCAGTGTTGCCATACAAAACAACAGAAAACTTCACTGTTTGTTATCAAAACAATGCATATTTTATAAAAAGAAGAAGACAATTGTAAATTTAATATGAAAATTAATGAAAACTTAAATTAAAAACAAAAAAATGTATTTTGAAGTGTCCATAATTTATACTAATCAATAAATAGAACATTTTAATGTTTATATTTATAAAAATTTTATTAATTTTTTTGCATCAGCTGTTTACACTTTTGCATTTCGTGCTTAAGATTAAACCACCTTCATTGGGCGCTTGAACTTGCAAACAAAATTAACTAATTGAGTACTCAAAAACATCTTTCGAGGATTAATTTTAATTTAATCGCTAATCTTTCACCTAAAGATTGGCCCTTAATGTTTTCAACAAAAAAAAAAAATCGAGTTTGTATGAAGAATGTGTGTTATCGGTGTATTGGTTTACTTTGGTATTGGTATTTTAGAGTTATCGGTATTTTGGCTTATTTCGGAAACGGTATTTTTTTTAGCACACTACCGGTTTTGAACATTTATTTCCTTTTTGATCTTTTTAATATCGATAACGGTATTTTAGCGGTATTAGTATTTGGCTTATTTCAGTAATGGTGTCTTAAGGTTATGGGTATTTTGGCTAATTTCGGTTTCGGTAGTAGTGTTGAAAAGGTATTTTAGAGATAGCTTAGCGATAACGTTTGTCAACCTTGCTTTTAACTGATTTAGACCCGATTTTACGATTCCGACAAAAAAATCGATTTTAAAGAAAAATATGAGGGATCAAAAAGTAAACAAAGTTGCTGCAGGCTTTAGTTATAGTTGGCATGTCCTACTATATAACACCTTAGACACACCAGTTATGAGTACATTTAAAATTTAAATAAACACAATACGATTTATTTTTATTAAAAAAAAACATTTATGTTAAGTTTTACATTAGTTATATTTAAAAAAACTGATTTTCAAAAAAGGTTTCATACATAAATAAAAATTTGGAGGAGGAATTTATACGCAAGTTTGTATGGAGCCTATGGCCAAAAAAGGCCTGATCATTACGAAAATAAGTAATTTCATTTATGTCTACATAAAATTTAGTTCTACCAATTTTTGAATAGGTAATAGAGTATTTGGCGCAGCTATGACCTAAAAAGCCAAATCGAAAGATCTTATGTGATCTAGGTGAAATAATGGGCCGATCATTTTCAATAAACTTCGTCTTTTGGCTGCGTATGTACCTAATTTCATTAAAATATCTTGAAAACTGGGGCCTTTATTTTGCGCTCAAGGTTTACATGGACACCCGGAAAGATATAGCTTAATCGATTTAGAAAGTGATTCGCAGTCGATTGTTACAGTTTAAGGTGGATGTAGGACCAATATTGCAAAAATGCACATAGCGACATTAGGAGACTGTTTACCATTAGACTGTGGGTGCCGTGGCACTGCAATGTGCATTACAATGACATGGAGTCCATGGAGTCCATGTAAACCTTGTCCATGTCATGGACACACAGACGGACATAGCTTCAACGACTCAGAATGTGATTGTGATAAAGAATAACGAAAAATGATTGAATAATTTTATTAAACATCAGAATGAAAAGAGTTTAATTCTTGGAAAATATAAACATTCAGAGATAAGTTGAAAGGTGTGATTTTTACAGGTTTCTAAGCTTCATTAGAATTTAAAAAAATTCCACTACACTTGGGGTTCTTGTCTCGACTATTGAAAAATTGATCAGCCACGACAAGAGCCTCACATATTACAAAAATCTTGATACGAAACGAAATTTCGTTGGATATTTGGTTCAAAATTTTAGTACTGAAATTTTTATGAAATATTGGTGTTAGCTCAATTCTGAAACCATTTTCGGATTCAGCATAGATTTAAGTCTTAAATGATAAATTTCAGTTGCCCTCGGCCTTAAGATCCCGAAATAACAGCACAAATTGTTCAAATTAAAAAAATTTCGGGAATTTTGATGAAACAATGGACCTAGGTTCATTCTGAGTCCATTTTCGTATTCAGCGTGCGAATTTATCAGAAAGGTGATTTCCAGCCAGGGCCCAAATCGAGCGAAATCACCATTTAGATTCTATTGAGATTTCGATCGATATCGTATGCCGTAATTTGGGCCCAGATTCGGCCAGTAGTTTTCGAGATTAAAGCAAACCAAAAAATAAATTTAAAATTTTGTTGATTATGGGTCCTAGGTCCACATTTCTCCCAAATTTCAGATTTTTTTATTTTTCTTCAAACTCGGGAACTACTGGCCGAATCCTGCTGCAAACTCACCTTACAGGTAAAATACCATGCTGAATCCAAAAATGGAGTCAGAATGGACCTGGGACCAATATTTTATCAAAATTCCGGAAAATTTTTTTAAGCTATTTGTGATATTATATGGCGGTCTTGAGGTCCAGAGTTGCAAAAATTTTACATTCAAGATTAGTGCTTAAGCTGAATTCGAAAATAAACTCATAATGGACTTGAGACCAATATTTCATCAAAATTTTCATACAAAATTTCAAGCCGATTCTACTACAAAATTTTATGTTACCTAAAAATTTTCCAACATTTCCATTACATTTGAGGTTCTTGTCTCGACTGTTGAAAAATTGACTAGCCACGACTAGAGCCTCACATATTTCTTTATTTGTATTTTTATTTCAGATTGTTGTTATTATCTTAAGTGTACCTTATGATATTTACGATGTTTAAAAAAACTGGTGGTAATCCCACCATGATGATATGCACAATTTTATCGTGATATTAGTGTTTATAAGTGAATTTTGACCTTCAAGCTATTCCCAATTCCTCCTGCAATCATACATGCCCCTTCATGAATAGCTTGCCGTAAACAATGTCTAACCTGTCTAGCACTATTCCTTTGTAATCTATCCCTCGCAAATAGTATTCAACCTGTCCTTTCCTATATATGTTTCTAAGTCCATTCGACCCAACCAAACCCATTTCCTGCAAAATATCATAAAAATATATTATTTTTTTCTATTTATTTTTAACAAATTTTTGGTGAAAATAATCTGCACTCTGGAGTAGAAATTGTTTGACTCTGGAGTGGATTCAAATGAATCAAATTTGAAATTATATTGATATGAAAAAGGAAAGAAATACAGTTTTTTTGGTTGAGAGAATTACTGAAACGGGGGACAGATTTTAATTCTGCGCAACTCAATTCTTTGGGAAATTATAATTTGGTCTCAGGGTTTCGACTGTTTTGATATGTTGTCGGCCTTTGTCATTCTTTACATCCCAAAGAAAACGCTTTAATTTGTTTCTTTTTTGCTTTTTTACTAATTAAATTATAATGATTTTATGCATTACATTTTTTTATTGAGTTTTGTAATTTTCTGTTACATGTTTTATTTCATTTTTTTTTGTTTTAAATTTAATGCCGGCAAATAAAGTTATGAATGTTTGGTTAAAGAAATTTAAATAAGGTTGATTTTAATAAGCTTTAAGAATTTATTTAAATTTCTTGTTTGTTTTAATGATGTTATTATATTAATATATGTTTTTGTTATATTTATTTTTTTTTTTGTTTTAATTTGCTAAACACATTTATATATTAATTACATAATTTGCAATTTAATAAATTTATTTAAATAACAAAATTAAATTTTCTTTTTTATGCATTTTTAAACTATATAGATATTTATAATTTTCAAGTATTTAACTGATTCATTTATTTTGTTAAAAAATTAAAAGGAATGAAAAAAAAAAATCAATTTTGTTTTTGACTAAAAATAATATAAAACACAAATTATAGGTAAAAGTTTATGTTTTAATATAAATTTTAACGTTTGATATTTGATTTTATTTTTTTAAATTATCTTTTAATAGAATTTAAATGTTTAAAACAAACAATACTTTTTTTTGTTTAAATCGTTAATATGCAGTTTTGTTTACTGTTTTTTTTTTTTTTTTTTTGGTTTAAATTTGTAATTACATACACATTTAATTAGTTTGTGTTATTTTCTTTTGGATTTGATATTTGGTTTTGAATGTTCTAAATTTTATTTTCTGCACTTAATATGTATAAAATGTTAAAGGATAATCCTTTTTTTTTTCTATAAATAACAATAATTTCACTATAAATTGTTGTTATTTTTTTTATAAACTTTAGTTTTGGGGTGCCAAATAATTTGGCAATTTATTAATGAATTTTTTTTAGAACATTCTTGTAGTTTAAGACTTTTTAACATTGTTGAGGCCTTTTTCTTTTGTTTTATTAAAATAATTTTTTTAGGTTTTTTATTTATATTCCTTCTAAGTTTAAATATTTATTGTTAATATTTCTTATTTTTAACCTGTTAATACATAATTTTTAGGTATATATGTATATATATTTATGTATTGTATATAAATATAATTGTTTTTTTATTTTTTTATATTCAAAAATGTTTGTTTTTTATTATTTTTATTTTAAATAATAAAATATTTTTTTATTTATTTATTATTTTTCTGCTTTATTTTTAATTGAATTTATGTTTCCTGTGTTCTTGTTATTATGCTAAAGGTAATTTGTTGTTGTTCTTGTTGCTGTTATTTAAAATTTTTTATAATTCGAAATCCCTTTTTTGTTTTTATAATGATGGCGACGATTTGGTTAATTTGATTTTTTTTTAATTTTAAGAATTATTTGTTTAAATTCTTAAACATTTTATTGAGCGCCTGAATTTATTGTGAATATTTTAGTTCTTACAAGTAAATTTTATTTCGAATGCATTAAATGCTTTTCAAATATGTTTGTATATAAATTCCATTGTTCTTTTTAAAATTTTTAATTTCAAGTTCAAATACAATGGCACATATTTTTAACCCCCCAGAAAAGTGGGCCTGCAAATCTAAAGAAAATATATTCGAATTGCTATGTATCTAGCATATAAATTCAAATATATTTTTAGTATCGAGTTATGCAAAAATTTAAAAAAAAAATATTCAAATTTGTAAATATTTTCTAATTACATTTACTAATAGTTTAAAATTTGTCCATTAAAAATATGCATCATTGCCTAACTTTCTGTTTATTTATCTTTTTTATTTAGAAATTGTTTTTTCTTTTATTTCGTGTTAATTTTTGTTTTATAATTGTATACCTTGTTTATGTGTTTATTTAAATGCCCTTAAGATCAGCTTAATTTGTTGTTATTATAGATCACTATCAAAAGTTTATTTAAGCTTAATTTAATATTCGATATAATGATTCTGACATGCATTATTTTATTTCTATTATTTGTATAAAAAAAAATAAATAAAAAAATTTGCAATTTTAAATGCACTTTAATTATTTAGGAAGAAAAACTGTTAAAAAGGAATTTCTAAGAAAAAAAAAAAAAAAAAATAACTTTTAACTAATTTTTCATATAATAGTTCTATGTTCCTATTTCAGTAAATTTTTGAGTTATTTTCGCGAATTGTTTTATTACAATTTTGAAAAAGATTCGATTTAAGCAATATTAAATCATTTACCGGAATTAATTCAATTAATCTAATCGTACTTTCAGAAACAATTCTTATAATAAAATCCCTTCGAATACGTTTGATAGTCAAAGATTCTTTAAGTGATAATTCAATAAAAATCAAGTAAGAATGTATAGTCGTGCATGGCCGACCATGTGATACGCTACACCAGTGAGTATGTTAAAAATGTGGATTATTTTTTTAATAATAAAACATTTTACCTTAATTCCGAAAAATTGTCAATTTGTTAGCAAAAGAAGTGATTTTCTGAAAGAGGGGTTATATGGAGGCAAAGGTAAATATGGTCCTATCAGTTTACGTGATTTACGATATTAAAGTGATTTATGAAGATTTTTAAGTCATTTTTAAGTCATTTTCTGAAGAGAACTTTGTATCGGTGCTAGGGTCAAATGACGCCCGATCATTACAAAAATCGGTAGTATCATTTAAACGTATATAAAACTAAGATTTATAAGCTCAAAAGCCCTATTCGGTGTGAACGGTTGTATGAGGTCAAAAGAAGCGTATTTCTTTCATCAAATTATATTGGAAAGGTTTACATGGACACAAAGACAGGCGGACATAGCTTAATCGACTCAGAAAGTGATTCTGAGCCAATCGGTATACTTTAAGGTGGGTGTAAAACTAATATTTTTTGGTATTACAACCTTCAGCACAAACGCATAATACGATCCCCACTATAGTGGTGAAGGGTATAGAGATAAACAGAATTCTTTTGGAATATTTGAGGAATGTTTTTATGTACTTTTCGATTTTTTCCATAATGTACATATGTCGGGATAAAATAATAGGCATAATTTCTAATGGATGTCAGCTAGTAATAAAGGATAGCATTTTACCACCACATATTCAAATACTACATTACTCAAATCCCCTACAGCCAAAACAACATAGAACTTGTGTAAAAACGGTTTTGATAGTCCATATGTCAGAGGTATTTTACTTTTCATATACTTTTGGGGTATCCTGCAATCTTCTCTGTAAAATATCTGAGTGACTACTGGTTATTTGTACTATTGACAAAGTTCGTGCCACTACCGTTCAACTTACTACTTCATGTAGTGGAGGTGATCTTATTGAGGTGATTTCTTTATGCAAATTTGGTTTAGAAAACAAAAGATGCTGTAGTAACTCTAATGTCAGACCCAAAGCAACGGGTCCAATATGTACTTGACCCTTATAGAAACTCCTTTCTCCGTTTTCAATAGGTATACATATGTATGTATGCAAAGGTAAAGTGCGCGGCGAAAACTACATTACTTATGTTTTATATTCTTATGGGCTAAACCAGCACATTAGTCCATGCGCAGTAGTTTTGATTGAGATTAAGGAGCATGTTATTAATACATGCATAAATGTATAAATGCACCACTTGGAGGTCATCCATTGTAGACAGAGATAGAAACTTGCAGCTGAAAACATGTGTGGCCAACTTGGAGCAACAAGCCTACAATCTATTGTAATTCGTGGTCGTAGTTTAATGCTGCGCTAGACAAAGAAATTTCTTTCCTATTTGTCATTAAGTTCTAAAACGCACTCCCAATTAAGTATTTTGTGTTGAAAATGTTCTTATGTAAAATGGCGTCATCCATATTGTACTTAAAATTTGCAAAAAAGAGCACACTTACCTTTTGCCAATTTCGACAAGAGCAATTATACACTTTCCAATTCATTACATTCCACTTTATCCAAATTTGGACTTTTAACTATTTTAAACACACATATTTTAAATAAATGCACTAAATTTAAATTTTATTTAACAATTTCTCCTCCAAACAAAAGTAAAATCCTTTCAACTGTAAAAAAAAAAACTGTAAATGATATACGCAAAGGTGTTGCCAACACATATTTTTTCATGTGCCTAACGCAACCAACTAAATTGCAATACATTAACATAACCAACTAAATCAAAAGAAAAGCAAATAAAGAAAACAAAAAAGGTACAAGTGTTGTAATAAGATTTCTGTTTATTTTGCAACTTAAAGCGAAAAAAAAAATAATGTTCATAAAACTAAACAACAAATATTTCATAGTAATAATAAAATAAATGTAAAACAATGAAAAAAGTTACATATGTAAATATATTTATGTACATAATAGTTACATATTTTCATAATGAATACATAATATAATAATCATAATAATAGAGCAAAATAAATAAAATTAACAGTATTTTCAAACTATGTCATCAAAAAATATTTAATAATAAAAAAATAATAATAAACACAAAGAAAAATAAATATTATTTTATAATATGTATTTAATTTAAATAATAAAACATAAATGTATGTATAGGTGATTTTTGTACATGATTTCATTTTTAATTTATAAATTAATAATTTAAAAGTGTTTCATTTTGTTTTTTGCTAGTATTTTTTAGATTTTTCATTCTTTTAGTTTGTTTTTGTATTTGTTTGTGTATAAAAACATTCATGTATAAAAAGTTTTTTTTTTTTGATTTTTTAAATCTGTTTCAAAAATTTGTTTGTTTTAAAAAACAATTTGGTCTTGTTTCCAAAAAAAAAGTAAAACTAAAATTTGGATTTCTTTGTTTAAATTTATAAAATAAAGATTAAAAATAAAAACAAATTTATAAAATAGTAATAATAAGTGTTTTATAAGAAATAAACGTTTTAATTCTTTTAAAATAATAGTTTGTTTGTTTTGCTTAAAAATAAAATTATGTATAATTGAAATTATAATTTTACAATTTACTTTGTTTAATATGTTTTTTAGTTTAGTTTAATTTTGTTAATTGTTAAATCTTAAATTTAATGCCTAAAGATTTTGGTTAAATTTTGTATATAGTTTTTTGTTGTTGTTGTTAGTGTTTTATTATGATTTTTTTTGCTAATACTAAATGTTTGTTACCTTGTTGATTTTATACTTTATACTTTTTTAAATTATGTTTTAGTCTAAAGTTTTTGACGTTGTTATTTATGTGTTTTAACAATAAATGTTTTATAAAACAATTAAAAATTATTGTTGTATTTGCTGTGATTTAAACTATATTAAAATAAATCCTTGTATAATTGAGAAATAGAATATCAATATAACATAATATATTTTTTTCATTTAGTTATTAATTTTTAAAAAGGCCTTAACAATTTCAATGCTTTTTTTTAATACAGTTTATGAGGTTATGTTTTTTACTTTTAATTTTAGAGTTTTTTCTATTATTATTTCCTCTATAGCTTTCAATACTTTTATTTTTGCTTTTTTATCTAATTTCTAATAAAAAGTAGTTGTTGTTATTTTGTTTTTATATTATTTGTGATAAGTGCGTGTGTGATCAGTTTATGATGTTACGACATAATAATCCTGTTTATTTGGCATCTTAAGAAGACGTTTTGTTCGAAACTCATACGCCCGCCGACAAAACATTACCAATTCCGGATTGGTATTATCGGGTACTATACGTATACTATAATAATTGGGTCGTTTCGGTACAATATTAACGTCTTCAATATCTTCTTCAGCAGCACGTAGTCGTCGGCGATACCTGCAATTAAAAATGTTTAAGAAGAAAATCAATATCAAACAATAGATATATAGATAGATAGATAGATAGATAGATAGATAGATAGATAGATAGATAGATAGATAGATAGATAGATAGATAGATAGATAGATAGATAGATAGATAGATAGATAGATAGATATATAGATAGATAGATAGATAGATAGATAGATAGATAGATAGATAGATAGATAGATCACCTGCAATATTCACTAAACGTTAAAACGTAACACTTGTCTTCAATGCAGGCCACAGAATTATGATCCCGATGACGAGAAGCATAGACTTCGTCAGGACTATCACTGGGTTGTCGACCTTGTTCGGTATGTTCGGGACGATAATACCATAACAATGACATCATCATTTCACCTGCAAACAAATTTCAAATATGCATATTAATATTATTTTTCCACTTTTAGAAATCAATCACAACTTTACCATCTTCGGGATTTTCCCATAGATGAGCGACTTTTGCCACATAGGGTAATTCATTTTCATCGTTTGCCTTCAGGAGTACACAATCACGTGAACGTATAATATCGCCCTCAAGATGACGCATAGCAGGATAACAAGTGCGAATAACTAATGGATCATCACTCTGTAAAAGGAAGAAATATGTAATTATAATTTCGAATTCCAGGTATATATCAACTATAATGGGAAATGTTTGCATAATTTTTAAATATTTCCAAACAATAATATTGATTTCTGTCTGAAATATTCACTTACATTTAAAAATACGGCACCCTGGAATGGTTCTCCTTCCCAGGTCCAACCATTGTTCCACTTTGGCACCACATCACTGCGCGGTACCGCAGGCAGTGTCTCATCAACCTCAAAGGATACAGTGGAATGTTTTAGCTTTTGGCGTTTACGACTACCAAACTTGGAACGTGAACGTGATCTTTTGCCCGCATGCTGGTGATGATGTGAGTGACATACAATCCGAGGCATAGGCGGAAGTATTGGCTGGAGGAATACAGTATTAGCAGTAGGCGCTACCTGTGTTATATCATTGGAATGTTGTTGCTGTTGTGAGACTGAAGACATCTCATCTACAGCTGCTAATGGTGTGGTTGGAGATGGTGATGTTATTTGAGCGTTTATTTGAACACTAGAAGTTTCCACTGTACCAGCCAGTGTTGTTGTAGTTTGATCTTCAACTTCCATTACAGGTTTATCCAAGATATGAGATTCTTCGAAAGATGTTGTTGGTATATCAATTAAAACTTTATCGTAATCATTATTATTAGTTTCAGCCAGGCCTGAGCTTGAATCGCTACACTCGGATACTTGTATTTCCGGATCAAAGACATTATTGAAGTTGGTATTGTCTATAGTGCCATCTTCGCTCTTAGAATTCTTTGATTTTTTCGAGGATTTTGATTTTTTGCTATTAGAAGTGGTAGTGAATGATGATGATGACTTTTTAGTTTTTCTTTCTTTTTTAGATTTTGATTCCTTTGATCTTGATTTCTTATGGTTCGAAGTTGATTTTTTGCTAACTTTTGTTGGAATATCTGAATGTACTTCATCAGCTTGATCAGACGATGCAGCTTGAATTTCTTGACTCAACTCTTGTTCCATCAAATTCGAGGTAGTTTGTATGGGAACTGTTGTAGCTTTTTGCGATGACAAATCTAAAACTGGCCTTGTTAATGATTCCTTACTAATGATGACCTCTTCGCTGTTGTTCAGTTGACCTGAAGTTTTAATAGGCTTTTTGGTCTCAGATTTCGATCTTTTCTCGGAGGTGGTTTTAATTTTATTTTGTGTTTTTGTTACCAGAGGTTTTCTTGTTTCCTGTTCCTCCAATTTGTTTTTGGGCAAATCTTTATGGCAGGGTGATGTTACTGTTAAGCTAATGGAAGATCGAGGGCATTCTGGTTCCGAGAAATAACCTCTAGCTACAGCATCTATAGTTTCTACCAGATGTAATGGTATAGTTGGCTTTTTAGCTGGTTTCCCGCGTTTGGGTGAGGGTTTTGGTGTATTTAGGGGGGAATTATCAACAGATTTGATGACTTTGCCGGATAACAGACCGACATTTGAGGTCATATCTATTGCTTCAGTTGGAAATTTAATTTTGGTCTCCCTTTCTTCTTCCTCCTCTATCAAGTTGACTATGTTGGACTTTTCCTCCTCCTTTGGGCTTTCAATTGCAGTTTTGCTTTCCAATATGAGTTTTTCATATTTAACTTCCCTTTCACGTTTAGCTTCTTTACGTTTCTGTTTTATCTCAGCTCTTCTTAGCTCCCTAGCCTCTCTCTTTGTCTTTTCTATGGCGGCCAATTTCTTTTTGCGTACCCTCAGTCTTTGTTTTTGTTGGTCCGTGAGTATTAGTTCTCTGCGTCGTATGCCATTATTGAGACCATTATTTTTATTGGATTTTGTAGAATGTAGTTTTCCAAAACGAGATTTCTTATCGAATTTACGACTTAAACAAAGGTATGTCTTGGGCTCGGTCTGTTTGATTAAACTCTTATAACTATTGGGTGGTGATTTTTTACACTGGTTTTTATTAAATTCCAATATTTTCATGCGTTTTCCTGAGGATGAACCCACAACAGGGCTATGGCAAAGATCGAGTACTTCATCGTCTGAGGCATTGGAAAGATCAACGTCACAGTTAGCGGAAGTAGGAGGAGTAGGTTGCCAGGAGGGCAACAAACGCATGCGACAAATTGGTTTACTTAGCGCCGAATTAAGTTTATGCTCTTCCAACTCCAATTGCTCACTTTCTTTAGCATCTGACGCTTTAATGATTTCACAATCATTTTCTATCTTCACTTTGCTTTCGCTTAAAACTTCGCTTAGGCTAACAGGCTCAGCCTTAATAATTTTAAGCTCTTCTTTGTCCGGTATGTTGATATGTTTCTGCGCAGAAGTGGCAACATGTTGTACAACATTAGTATGTTGCTGCAGCACTGTGTCCAATAGATCGTCCTCTAGTTTAATTTTTTCCGCTTTAATTTCGGCTTTCAAAAGTAGAGGTGTTGTAATTTCTTCTATTTCTTGTTTTGTGCTAACAGCTACTGTGTTGGAGGAGTTAATGGGTGCTGCTGGCGGTATGTTAACATTGAGCAACATGTTGCTAATATTATTTACATTTTTATTATGCTGAGGTGAGTTATGAGCCGCAACTACTCTTTGAGGTGAGTTTAAAATGTTACAGTGCATGGGTGAATTTGGTTGAGAATTGGAACGCGCTGTTACCAAGGCCGCAGGCTGCGTGGGTGTATTAGCTGAGGGGGCAATATTATTAGCCGAGTTAGGCTGGGAGGCAGCACCTGCATATACCATATTCCAAGCCATAGATTTGCCAATTCTAGCTCTTCTACCAACTGTTTGCTGGGCCGACTGTGTAGTTCCATTTGTAGCCTGTTGTATGGAGTTATTTTGCAAGGGCGGTGTGGTGGTAGTCAAATCATAGGCCTCTATGGGTGTAGCTATGGCCAACAAATGGTTATTGTTAGCTCTTTGGGGAGGTAACTGATGATGCGGATTGTTAGCTTGTAACTTATCAATTGCCTCTTCTATATCCTCTTCCAAGGGTATGGCAGTCACTGTATCCTTGTCCAAGGAATCACGCAACTTGTCCTCATTTGTGCTATAATTCTCGGGAGGTGTTAGTGGTGTCAAGACATTCTCCTCATATTGACTTTTATTATCCGTATCATCTGTAGTCATTTCTGTTTTGACTGCTATCGATAATAGCGGTAAAGTCTTTGGTGCTTCTTTGCGCATCTCATTATTTACCACTGGGGAGTTGGAGTTTATGGTATTATGGGTGGGTGTTAAATTTTTAACTGGGCCTCTACTGGTAGTCAATGCCTGTTGGCTGTTGTTGTTGTTGCTATTGAAGCTGCTGCTGTTGCTATTATTGCTCTTGGCATTCATCATCAAATTGTTGCTGCTGCTGTTGGTACTCGAACTGTTGTTGTTGTTGTTCATTGGTTTGTTGGTGTTGCTGCTGTTGTTGCTGCTGTGTGACATAGTTGCATTCAAACTGCTGTTGTTGCAGTGATTGTTCATTGTTGCGACGTTGTTGCTGTTGTTGGTTGAAGTACTGTTGTTGACGTTGTTGCTGTTGTTGTTGCTGCTGCTGCTGTTGCTACCAATATGAGGCCCAGTATGGACGTTTTTTGGACACGATTGTTGCATTGGACACGGACACTGTGGCGGATATTCTAGATAAATTTGAAAAAAAAATAAGTATTTTATTAATTTTATTCACAAGGATTATTAATTATTTAACTTAATTAATTATTTTCTTCTAATTAACATTAAAAAATGTAGGTTTATTTGACATTAGATATACCCAGTGGGCTTCGCTCCCCTTATCGAAATATGTTTATACAACAATTTTCCTACATGTAAAATACAGACACTAAAGTTATTATAGATTCTTAATGCGATCTGTCAAATATTTGCAATATCTTTGAAAAAATATACATTATGTACCAAGATGTACCTTTCCAATACAATTGTTAATTTGCACTTATTGGGATAAATATACTATAATAAATATATACTATTTCAGGGTATAGTTCTTAATTTGAACCTCATAAAAGAAGAAGAAGATTGAAAAGTTTCCAATTCTTCGTATCTAGTCATCAGTTTGTAGAGTCCCTAATATTGATTTTCTAGGCATCCTAACCACAAAACTCTAACTTAGTAAGAACCATACTTTTCCTTACCCATATACGGAGCCTGAATACTGCGTGAATAACACTGACCAGCTGCACCACCTCCGGGACTATAACTAGGATAATAACCTGGCGGACCGGGATAATGTTCCAAATGTTGACTATGTGCTGCCGGACCAGCCGGTACTAACTGCGAGCCCCCTTGGGGAGGGGGACCACCTGATTGTGACGGCGGCGGACCACCCGGAGGTGGAGCAGCACCCGTTGCCGGTGGTGGTGCTTGTTCATATAAATCCGCTGGTGGTGGTGGATGACCTGGCTGATAGTAGGGATATCTTCGGTAGGCCGAATGATGTGGTGGTGGCGGTGCACTCTGATAGACTTTGGTTGGAAAATAGGGTTGATAGGCAGGTGGTGAATAGCATATGGGTTCACCGGGATATGGTGAGTAATAATTAGCCGGATATGCTGTGGAATAGTGCATTTGGGCATGCATCGATCGTGGATATGGTGAACCTTGATGAGCAGCAGCTGCCGCCGCGGCCGCTGCTGCGGCAGCTGCAGCAGCTTGTTGATGTAACTGATGATGTTGTTGCTGCTGTTGTTGTTGACTGTGATGTGCTGCCGCTGCTGCTGCAGCTGTGGCCGGTGATGTACCACCACTGGCACTGTGTGGTGGATAACGGAAAGGTGTCAAATCCCCTCCAGTAATGAGTACATCCGTATCGGGTGGTTCCGTTGTTGCGGAATTTGTTTGTCCAGTCGCTGGTAAGTGTTCACTACCATCGGCTGTGGGGGTTGTTGGTGTTTGCGACTTAATTTTAGTTGTAGTTGCTGGCAACAATGGCACATTTGGTGGTATGGGTGGACCAGCTGTTACTGGTGGTATAACATGAGGTGAGATCAATGGTCCAGCTGGTTGATAATAACCTGAAATAAAAAAACAATTATTATTAGTAATTTAAACGAAATTTTATATTTTGAGTCTGAATTAAAGCGTTCGACATCGAATAATTTTTTCTATTGATATTTTCAATATTATAGTGTTATACTTTGATTATAGTTATAATAAAATTGTCTAGTTTACGAAATCAACTACCATGATCTTCAAAAAGGGATATTAAGAACAATATGCAAGGTAAAAAATTCGATGGAACTTCAAAATTATAATAAAAAAATTGAATGCCAATGTAATCTTTGAAAATACATAATAACTTTTCCCATGTCCTTTCTACATTTTCTTCTTTAACTCTACAATTATAAAAAATTATTTGAATTTTCAAAACTTTTGTGGTAATTTCAAACAGGAAATGCTGTTACAACTAAATATTTATCTCTAAATTTTGTGCTTTTTATTTTTAATCATTAAAATCAGGAAAATTTTTATTATTTAGATTTATCACTAAATTAACAATATAAACAACAAAAAACTTTAAATGCTGTCAACTTGTAATAAAGCAACTACCAAAACTTTTTTATGCACATAGCAATTGCAACAAAAATTACCTCAGACTCTGACAGTTAACATACTCTCATACCTATCTACTACGGTGAAATGTTTTGTAGTTGGTAAAAGTAACAGCAACAACAAAAAGAAACAAAGTTTTACATAACTTCAAACATGTATACAAACATAACAGATCTTACAACTATTTACTATATAGAGGAGAAAAAGTTTTTAAAAACTTTTTCCTCAACAGCTACTACATTCATACTTGTGCTCATAACGGTGCAAATGAGGAAAAAAACTGAAAGCAAATAAATTGAGAGAGAGGGAAGAATGCCGAAGATATGAAATCTATGATCGGAAGTCTTTAGGACTGTACTGTAGACTATACAATAGAGTCGAGTTTATACTATACTAGACACTACAGGATAGACTAAGTATAAACTAAACTACATATAGACTAAACACTAGGCTAGTCTATAAACTAAATAATGAGTAGACTAGAATATAGACTAGACCATAGACTAGACTATAGACTAGACTATAGACTAGACTATAGACTAGACTATAGACTAGACTATAGACTAGACTATAGACTAGACTATAGACTAGACTAGACTATAGACTAGACTATAGACTAGACTATAGACTAGACTATAGACTAGACTATAGACTAGACTATAGACTAGACTATAGACTAGACTATAGACTAGACTATAGACTAGACTATAGACTAGACTATAGACTAGACTATAGACTAGACTATCGACTAGACTATAGACTAGACTATAGACTAGACTATAGACTAGACTATAGACTAGACTATAGACTAGACTATCGACTAGACTATAGACTAGACTATCGACTAGACTATAGACTAGACTATAGACTAGACTATAGACTAGACTATAGACTAGACTATAGACTAGACTATAGACTAGACTATAGACTAGACTATAGACTAGACTATAGACTAGACTATAGACTAGACTATAGACTAGACTATAGACTAGACTATAGACTAGACTATAGACTAGACTATAGACTAAGACTATAGACTAGACTATAGACTAGACTATAGACTAGACTATAGACTAGACTATAGACTAGACTATAGACTACACTATAGACTAACTTTAGACTAGACTATAGACTAGACTATAGACTAGACTATAGACTAGACTATAGACTAGGCTATAGACTAGACTATAGACTAGGCTATAGACTAGACTATAGACTAGCTATAGACTAGACTATAGACTAGACTATAGACTAGACTATAGACTAGACTATAGACTAGACTATAGACTAGACTATAGACTAGACTATAGACTAGACTATAGACTAGACTATAGACTAGACTATAGACTAGACTATAGACTAGACTATAGACTAGACTATAGACTAGACTATAGACTAGACTATAGACTAGACTATAGACTAGACTATAGACTAGACTATAGACTAGACTATAGACTAGACTATAGACTAGACTATAGACTAGACTATAGACTAGACTATAGACTAGACTATAGACTAGACTATAGACTAGACTATAGAGTAGACTATAGACTAGACTATAGACTAGACTATAGACTAGACTATAGACTAGACTATAGACTAGACTATAGACTAGACTATAGACTCGACTATAGACTAGGCTATAGACTAGACTATAGACTAGACTATAGACTAGACTATAGACTAGACTATAGACTAGACTATGGACTAGACTAGATTATAAACTAGACTATAATAGACTAGACTATAGACTAGACTATAGACTAGGCTATAGACTAGACTATAGACTAGACTATAGACTAGACTATAGACTAGGCTATAGACTAGACTATAGACTAGACTATGGACTAGACTAGATTATAATCTAGACTATAAACTATACTATAGACTAGACTATAGACTTGACTATAGACTAGACTATAGACAAGACTATAGACTCGACTATAGACTCGACTAAAAACTGTACTAGACGAAAGGACAGATTATAAACTCAAAAGAAGATTCGTCTTAATATTATTACTAGGATCCCTTAAGATTTTGCATTAATAGAAGTTAATTTTATACCATGATTTTGGAAAATTTTCGCGCCAATTTCAATTTGGGTACAGTTCCCATTTCTCAAAACCAACTAAGAAACAATACTTTATAAACATATGCCCCGATGCAAAACTAGTTACTTACAAAGTTTTTCTTTTTTGCAGCTATTTTTCTTAACTGTTTGTTGCTAGTATTTTAGGAGCAACTAACAAGCAAACAATTGTATGCAATGAATATTAAATATGCAACATTGCACAGTGGGCAAGAAACGCAAAATGTACGAATGAAAAAGTAAAATTTTATCAATAGATTCCTAAAGAAAGAGGGGATTACACACATATACATAGTTCTGTAACTATTGTTATTTGGAAATAGCGACCAGAGTAAGTTCTAACAGTTTATATGAAGTCGACCAGATAATTTAACATGATTGAGGGGATTTTACTAAATTATCAAGTTAAAAAAAGGTTGCACAAAATATCCGATTGATTTCTTTTCATATTTTTATTTCTTTCCCACTGTGTTACAAACATCATCGCATTCGATTAAAAGTCGTGGTTGCTAACTTGTATAATGGAATACATTGCACCGTTTATATGTATTTTTTTCGTTCGTCTGAAACAAGTTACATGGTGTTTTGCTTTTAGTTGGCATCATTGATCTTTTTGGAAGCATAAATGATTAGGTATCTGCAACACAACAGATTTAACTGCAAACACACACACGGAGTAATAACGGAGAAAAACTCCATCAGCAGGCAGCATCATAATAATCACTGTATTGGACATCAAACATTAGCAGTAGTTAAAAGTAGCCAAACTATAATAAATGTTGCTTGTTGCCATTGCTGCTGTTCCCGCTTGAGTTGTTGTTTTCATCATACAACAACGGATTTCATATTAATATTATAAACAAAAAAATTTTAGAGGGAAAAATACAAAATGTTATGGAAACTCCTGGCTTTGTTGGCGGCTTTAACAATCAGCATTTTTAATAAAACATTACCCCCTACTTAACTGGACAGGCTATGTTTGTCATGGACAGCGAAGACGGCTGGCCAGCAGTGGCATGTAAAACTATATTTTAATCTTGCTTATTTGATCTTACTTATTTTCAATATGATCAATAATATTTTCTATGTATAGATGGAGAGTAAGTAGTTGTTGTATATTAACTTATTATCAACTATTTGTAATTGCATGGAGGCTTAAAAGTTTAAGACCTTTTCAAAATTATAAACAATTATTTTGCAGTTTTTTCTTGTTAATTAAATATTTTGTAATTGATAGTAAAATGAATTGGATAATTATAAGGAAATAACTTTCACCTTTTACTAAAAAAGGCCTGCAGACTAGACAATACTATACATTAGACTAGATTATAGATTAGCATATACTAGACTATATACTATAGACTAGACCATAGACTAGAGAATAGACTGACTATAGACTAGAGAATAGACTGACTATAGACTAGACTATAGATTGACTATAGACTAGACTAATGACTAGACTACAGACTAGACTATAGTCTAGACTATAGAACAGACTATAGACTAGACTATAGACTAGACTATAGACTAGACTATAGACTAGACTATAGACTAGACTATAGACTAGACTATAGACTAGACTATAGACTAGACTATAGACTCGACTATAGACTAGACTATAGACTAGACTATAGACTAGACTATAGACTCGACTGTAGACTAGACTATAGACTAGACTATAGACTAGACTATAGACTAGACTATAGACTAGACTATAGACTGACTATAGAAATCGACTATAGCACTAGACATAGGACTAGGACTATAGACTAGAGACTATAGACTAGACCTATAGGCTAGACTATAGACTAGACTATAGACTAGACTATAGACTAGACTATAGAACTAGACTATAGACTAGACTATAGACTAGACTATAGACGATAGACTAGACTATAGGACTAGACTATAGACGAGACTATAGACTAGACTATGACTAGACTATAGACTAGACTATAGACTAGACTATAGACTAGACTATAGACTAGACTATAGACTAGACTATAGACTAGACTATAGACTAGACTATAGACTAGACTATAGACTATAGCTATAAGACTAGACTATAGACTAGACTATGACTAGACTATAGACTAGACTATAGACTAGACTATAGACTAGACTATAGACTAGACTATAGACTAGACTATAGACTAGACTATAGACTAGACATAGACTAGACTAGACTATAGACTAGACTATAGACTAAGACTATAGACTGACTATAGACTAGACTATAGACTAGACTATAGACTAGACTATAGACCTAGACTATAGACTAGACTATAGACTAGACTATAGACTAGACTATAGACTAGACTATAGACTAGACTATAGACTAGACGATAGACTAGACTATAGACTAGACTATAG